CGGGGAGGGCGCAGCCGGCCGCTCTTACATAAAGGCTGCAATGCGGGCAGCGCGCCCCGGGCCCCGGGGCAGGACCCGCACTGCGAGGCTCGGCCTGGGGCTCCGGGGGGCTCCGGGGGGTTCCGGGGGGTTCCGGGGGTCTCCTCGGGGCCGGGGCGGGGCGGTCGCGGGGGCGGCGGGGCGGCGGGGAAGGGTCGCCGTCCCGGGGTACCTGGCTGGAGATGAGGTCCTCGCAGACGGACAGGGCCATCTGGATGGCGTTGGGCTTGTGGGTGACGGAGGTGGCGTTGAGCTGGAGCTTCCAGGTGCCGTGCCGCTTGTTGGCCTGGTTCACCGCCTCGCGAAAGATCTGCTCGTGCTTCTTGGTGCTCAGCACCGCGCCGATGTTGACGATCTTGGGGTCGCAGCCGGCGCGGGCGAAGGAGGAGGAGAAGAGGAGGGCGAGAAGCAGCAGCCGCATGGTGCTCATCCACGGGCGGCCCGGAGCCCGCCGGGCCCCCCGCGCCCTCCCGCCCGCCCGGCCCGCGGGCCGCCCGCCCGGCTCAGCGCGGCCCCATCCGCGGCCCCGGCGCGGCCCGGCCCGGCTCGGCGCGGCGCGGGGCGGTGCGGAGCGGTGCGGAGCGGTGCGGTGCGGTGCTGTGCGGGCGCTCTCCCTGGTGCTGAACCGCCCGCGCCGCCCCGCTCCGCCCCGCGCTGCCGCAGCGCCCGCCCCCCGCCCGCCCCCGGGACCCCCGCCCGCCCCGGGCGCTGCGGCAGAGCCCCCCCAGCACAGCGGGGCTGCTGCGGGGTCTGTGGGCACCCCCTCAGAGCGCGGGGTCCCTCTGCACCCTGTGCCTGGAGGGCGGCTGTGGGGTCGGGGTGGCTCCGGCACCCCCGGCAGTGTCGCTGGTCCTGGCGGTGCTGAGCTCGCCCGGGGCTGACCCTGCGGCTGCGGTGGGGGCAGCTCTGGGGGTCCCGCTCTCTCCTTTTCACCACAGTGCCCATTTGGAGTCGCAGAGTGCCATGGGAGACGTGCGAGGTGTGGACATACTGAGTAAACCAGGGGCTTCTCCAGGCATAACCACAGCAGACCAGGGGTGAAGCAGGGTCTGCAGTTGTGTCCTCCATACCAGTATTACCAGTTATGCAGCACCTCTGAACAACAGGGTCCCCAGTCAGTTGTGTGTGATGTGGACACCATCACAGTCTGTGTTCACTCCAGAACCCTCCCTTGACCAACACACCTCCTGGGCAGAGATGTTCAGCAGACACTCAGCCCGGTTCCTTGGCTTCGCTCTGTCCCTCCAGACAGAGCCACCACTCTTCCAGACATTAGCTCACAGGGCAACCAGCCATTTCCCTCCATTAAATTCCATATTATCTTGGGATATGACCTTAAGACTGCTGAGGAGATTTCTTGGGGTTCTCATCATCTACCTGCTGTTGGGCTACCATAAGTCTCCCTTAAGGAAATGGAGGCACAACAGCCAGGGCTAGCATCTGGAGGACAGTCCAGCTCTGTGGCTGAAAGGGCTGGCGTTTCACTGCTGGGCCGTATCTGTCCCATTCCAGCTCCAGAGGGGTGAGGTGGCCAGAGCAGCACATTGACCCCCAGAGCTGCTGCTTCAGCCTTTTTGGAAAACAGCAAGGGGGTTGCAGGTGGTGACAGGGTGTTGCTTTGTCATTGCATGGGACAAACACCACAGGCAGCCCAGGCGGGGAACGGGCTGAGCACTGCGGAACCAAAGCCACCAGGGATATTTTTACCCCACCAGTTCCGGGGTAGTGCTGCAGCCCACCTCTGTGCTCGCTCACAATGTGAGTTGAAGCAGAATATTTTTCCCCCAACGCAAATTTTCTCACTGGCATCTCTGAGGTGCGAGTTGCCATGGAAACCATTTTGCCTGTGTCCCACGTTGCCCACATGCACTCGGAAGAAACTGCAGAAGCAAAATGGCTGTTGTGTAACACCACAGGGGCTCAGCAGACGAGGGCCTTGTGGGCTGCACAGCCCCTTCCAGCCGTGAGACCCTCGCAGGAAGCTGTGGCCTATTGCTTGGGGAAGCAGGGAAAGGTTATGATGTGCTCTGAGAGAAGGAAAATGGCCCCATCTCGCCTTAACTCTTGCAGTGCTTGGCCTGGAGCTCCACACCGACCCTGCTGTGCTGCTGGCACAAACTTCCAGGCACGCTTAACCCTTTTCAGTGTCACTGTGGCATTCCCACTCCTCCACACATGGAGCTGAAGGCCTTGCTGGATTCACGTGGTGTGGGTTCGTCCACCCCGAGGGGCCCAAATACTGTCTTGAAGGGACAAAGGGTGCAAGTCAGAGTTCCATCTGCACCTTTAGTCTGCACAGGTTTGACTTCATTCCTACCAGGTGCATCTGCAGTAGGTTGTCTGGGAAGAAACTATTCTGGAGTGAGCTATACAGACCTGGATCCTGGTGGGTGTAATGGCAATAGAATAATAAAACCAAGACCTGACCACAGCAGGGGAATTAGCAGAGAAGACAAGGGGAAAAGGCAGGCTTTGTGATGTTATTTGGAGTGCAAAAGCCCTTTCCCCCTGGAAACCTGGAGTTCCCTGCAGCGAGAAGAAGGAGTGCAGCAATTGAGCTCCTCCTGTGTTGCCCAGGAGTCTGGGATGACTGTGCTCAGGAGGCAGCCTCTTCCCTCCGTGCCTCCATTCATTTTTTGTCTCCAGAGACTCTTGTTCCTGGCACGGTTGCAGAGATCTGAAAAATGCCTGCTTCCCTTTCAGGTCATGCCTCCCACCGTCCATATTGTCCTGGCACCAGGAGCAGCCCGGATCACAATTCCCAGCAGCCAGGCTCAGCCAGCACAGATGTTGTCACCGCGTGGCTCCCCCTCTCGCTGTGTCCTCGGGCTCTCTGATCCTCTGAAGGTGATGGGTGCATGCAGGGCTTTCCCAGGGTGGGAGCCGTGTACGTGGTGAGTACAACCACATCCACCAGCTGATCCTCGAGGAGACTCCGCAGAGAGGAATGCTCTCTGCTTTCCCTTTCACTGCCTCCTGGCTTATCATGGCAACATTCTCAGCCACAGTTTGGCTCAGGAACTGACCACTTTTGCCTGTTAGCAATGAGCACGTGTATAATGTGATCTTGATCTTCACGTCTGGCCCCTTCTGGATGCAGGGGAGCTGGGCAGAGCACTGGGCGGGTACTGGTTGGTGCCACCGTGCAGGTGAACGCTGCAATCCCTCCCGGGGCCAGAGTAAGTCAGTGTGAAAACTGGAGACCTCGGGGGAGCAGCTCTGAACCAGCCGGAAATTTCATCTGCCTCGGGATAAGGCATCAGTCCCGCCGGTGGAAAAGATAATAGGGAATTTCATAAAGGAGGAAATCGGGTATTAGGAATATGCAATTTGTGCCACTGATGGCGGAGCTGCCAAACAAATGAAATTCTTCTTTTGAGAAAGCTGATATTTGAGTTGATAGCAGTAACTCCACAGCTATAGCACAGGCTGGGGAAATGCTTGCTGTGTACAGCTGCAAGTTAATCTGAGGCATAAAAATGAGTAAAGCACATGCTCAGTGGCCATGGCTGGTCTCCAGACCTGGTAGTGAAGAATCCCTGCTGTGGGATGTGGGTATTCCCACAGGGATAAAAGGATGTGGTTGATACTTCAGCATTCCTGTCATTGCTCTGGAAGCAATGACTGACGGCAAAATCTGTGAGACAGCAAATAATGGTGCCAAATCACTTGAATTGTTTGATAAGCAGAGTACTGGAATGTATTTTAGGACAGCCAGTGTAGAGCCATGAAAGTAGAAGCAAGTATTGTTGGTCCTGCCCTTTGGACAGGACTGCAGATGCAGTGGAGACACTGATTGTAAAGGTGGTCTCTAATTTTGACCTGGGCATCAGAGATCATGAATTTCCAAACAAAAAGGTGGTAGCGTTGTCCTTGGATTCACCCTGAGGCGTCAGAGCAGCAGCTGGCAGCAGCTCTTCTACAGGAAACACTGGGGAACCCTCCACAGGAAAGTTGCCCACAGATCTGGGGGTCACATTCTTCACAAGGAAGATGAAGAGACAGAGAAAATATCCTTTAGAATATTTGGAGAAAAACTCCTCGCGAGCTGGCACAGCAGAGGTGAGAGTGGATGCAGTCAGAGTGTGCTGCCTTCCAGGAGCAGTGACACCACTGCACAGGTGCTTTCCCCAGGGCCTTTGGGCACTGCAGAGGCTGTTCCAGCTGCCTCCAGTGCAGATGGGGTCAGCAGGGCAATGAATTTGGAGGAAAGCAACCCTCCTCTCCTCCACCACCTCCATGCCTTGGCTGCAGCCTCCTTCCTACCTCCTGCCCAGTTTCATCACACCTCCTGTTCCTGCTGCTCAGGTATCCGGACACTCCCGGGGCAGTCCCGTGCCCTGGGAACCCTGCAGGTACAGGGAACCTGTCCTTGGAGGCTCCCTGCTGTGCACAACACAGGGATGGCCAGGGACAGGGACAGAGAACAGAGAACAGAACTGAACTCCAGCCTGAGGGGCAGGTGTGCAGGGACAGCAGACACAAAAGGGGGTGCAGGGCCCCCCACAGCTCCTCAGCACCCTCTGGGGTGTGGGGTGTGTCCCCCCCTGCCCTTCCTCAGGTGATGTGATCTGTGTGAGCAGCTGGGATGCAGCAGGACGTCCTTGTCACAGTATCAGCCACCCAGCCAGATGACAGGCAGTGACTGGAGAGTGCAGAGGAAGGTGCCCAAAGGCGTTGTTTCTGTGTCAGGGGAGCTGCAGAGAACAGTGGGGTGGAGACCAAGGTCAGAGTGTCTGAGCAGCCCTTTGGCCTGAGCTCTTGCAGTTTTACATCCTAGCCCTGTTCCCAGCTCTTTTCCAGACGACATTCAGGATGGACTGCAGTTCTAAAGAGGCCTTGTGCTCTCCCTAAATGCTTTCCCAGCTGAGAGGGACTCGGTCCAGCCTACTTTGCATTTCAGATGTGTCTGGGGAAGTCACCAGGCAGCACAGATCCCTGCTCCAGCACCGAGGCAGCACAGACTCACCCTGCTGTGGGCGTCTGTGTTGTCTTTACCCAGCTGTCCCCACAGGAATGAGCTCCAGGACTCCAAGTGCCTTTGCCACCCTCCTGAGCAGAGTGTGCATCACATCTGGAATCCCTGCTATCACAGAAAGAAACTGCAGCAGCATCCTACACCAGGTGATGAGAACTGAGGTATCTCCCCCTGCACTGTCAGGTTACTGCAGCTTACTGTGCATGGGAGCATTCCCACCATCCACCAGAGCTCTACCTTTGTCCAAGGAGCTGGACACACACAGGACTGGGGGGAGTTAAAACAAGATGCAAACTGCTAGTCTGGCTTCTGATACCCAGATGTTCCTGAGCAGGCAAGGAGATATTTGGGTGAGAGGATGGGACATGGAACATCAATGACCAGAGGCAAAGATGCTGAGAAATCCAAAACCAGCTTCTGTGCAGTCAGAGGGAATGGAATGTGCAGGAACATGCAGTCAGATGTGCAGTAGGAGGGCTGGGAATTTCAACTGCAATCATGTCCTAAGGGAAAACCAGCATTTGCACATTTGAAATGCACTGTGGGCAAAATTTCACTTTGAAAAAGTTCCAACTTTCTGCTGGAAAACCAGCCAAGAGGTGTCTGGGCTTCAGCTTCCAGCACACTCTGTCCCAAGAGATGGGACA